AGCCGCGGATGACGCGGCCCATGGCTGCGAGCCACCAACGCAGATGCTCCTGAGCCGTCTGCCGTGCAAGAGTAAGCCTCTAAAAGCAGCTCAAAGGCGATGTCACCAGCAAGATCCGGGCCAATAGACTCTTAGACATGCATAGACATGCCATGGTACTTACGCACCTCTCATCTCCGTCCTATCCGAAGTTCAAGCGTCCTGGGAGCGCCGCAGATGAGGACCGTGGCTTCGGTGTCACCACGGCGTGGACTTGCGCCACAACTGCGTGCACGCAGTCGGATGACCGTGGGCACCGTCTGCCAAGCAGAGCCCTGGCCTGGAGTAGCCCGCACTGGCTGGGCGACCACCGAGCTGACCTCCACGTGTCAAGACTTGTTGAGAGAACATGCGGAAATCCACGCGCAACTTGAGATGCATTCGAGACTTGTGCTTGCGAGCCTGACTGCAGGGCATGCCGGAGGGAGTCTGTGCTCGGCACGCTGCCCCCTGAGGACCAAAGAAGGATACCGCCGGATGCGAAGGTGCCCGAAACATTCCAGATGAAGATGTTGAAGCAGCAAGCTACTCAGACCGGTCGATTCTTGAGAAAGCGCATGTTGTGAGGAGCAGTGAAAGCAGCTGACGAAGGCATAGAGTTGCATGTGGTGATGTAGTATCCAGTCGTGTTTCTGATTCTGGTGCCAGTTCGCCACTCAACCTGAACACTTTGATCCACTCAGCCGCCTCGCGGCCAAGCAGGGTCGCTGGCACCGGCGGTGGTGGCGACCTTCTCTGGCTGTGCGAGCTGGCTTGAACCCGTCGGTGCTCAAAACCGGTCGACACTCGTTGTGGCTCACGTGGTGCCCTTTTGGGTCCCAGGCCTCGGTGACTGCTGCATCGCCGCCGCCTGCGGCTCCAGGACCCAGACAAAAAGAGTTTCCCCTTTGGCCCGCTCAGCAGGCGCTCGCATCCCAGGGTCCCGGCTGGATAGTGCGGGCCTCGGGAGTGGATGCCTGGCGATTCTGGGGCCTCTGGGGGTGTCTTCAGAGCGCCCGTATGGACGACATATCAAGTCCTGCATGTGCCTTTGGAGTATGGAATATGACTTTCAATATCTCGACCTTCGGCTCTTTTTTTGGCCGAGCTTCAGATAAAAGGGGCGGCGGTCGTTGTCTTGGTCGACCCCTGCTCGCGTGTCTTGAGGCTCGGGCTCGCTGCGTTGGCGGCCTGCCGTCGCAGCGAAAAACTACTCCCGAGGACTCGCCTCTCCTCATTACGGAGACCCAACAACTCCTCCAGGTTGTCAGATCAACATGAGGGCCTCGCCCGTTCATTTTTAAACTACAGGTCGAAGCTGCCCTTGCTATGCCTCGATCCTTTCAGTGCTGCGTGCCGGTTCCTAAGTAAGACCCGAGCACAGCAGTGAGCCCGTTCCTTCGTTAGCTGGCTTATTTGCTCTGGAACTTCAGGCTATGATTGCGTGCAGCTTTACGATACGTGCTCTCTCAGGCCGCTAGGGGGCTGGGGGCTCGGCCTAGGTTACCTCCTCAGTGCTGCGTTTTTCGCACCGATATGTTTCCACTACCTCCGTCTCGATTGCCAAGTATTCCAAAAGTCGTACGTGGAGTTCATTGCCCATAACGACTTCCGCACGATATTTCTATATGTAAAAGTCTGCCAGTTTTTCCTTGGTTGCCTGGGATTGTTGACTGCCGAGATGATGCCTCCAGCGAGGCGGGCCAGGAAGCCGCCACTTCTCCCATGAAAGACTTCCGGTAAGATGCACTTGCCCTAAAGCCTCAGATCATCGCGATTCTGTTTCCTGACGGGTACGACCACCAGGACTGAAAGTGCATACTGTATCATCATGCTCATACGGGCGTGACCTTATTGAGAGACTTACGTCAGCTCTTTCTCTTAGGTGGTCTCACAGGGGCGTGCCTCCCTGTCGGCCCCCGGATGACACTTCGCCCCCCACCCCCCCCTTCCGAATCGGCTTCATGCCAGCCGAACATTTTCTTGCTTTATGAGGTCTCACTTCCTTTAGAGATGAGTCCTCCGTTTCGTAGTATCCCCTTTGCCGTAATAGTTTGTCTTTTCCTTTAGCTGCGATCCGCCTCTTTTTTGGGTGGCAGGCGCAAGACCCGGAGCTTGCGCAGTCAACAAAACCTCCGCTACCTGTAGCTTGCATGCAAAGCAAAGGAGTGTATCAAGCATGACGAGTAGAAGACCACAGGTGTCATCCGTGAACTCGCTCCGCAGCAAGCCAACGCCTTACCCCGTAATGGGGCTGATTGTGGCACAAGCTGATCAACTCCTTGAACAGCATCCCGTCCTATGACCCGAAGCCGTGTTGAAGGCTGCGTTCTAAGATTTCTTGACTCAAAGCGGGACAGCGAATCCCCGCCCACCTCGCCACATCGCACGAAGCCTGCGTTGGCCAAGGATTGAAGCCCGCTCACGGTACAGATGCGAACGCAACAGGCCTGCTGCAGATCGCAGCTTGTCGATGAGGGTGGAACATGATGGAACAAAGTCGACCGTACTTCGCTAGCGACTTCGAATGGACGATACGCCCAAACCCCGCTAGATTGCAGTCGGCGATGCGAAGATGCAAGGATGGTTGTTGGTCGCTGGTGCAATTTTCTTGGGGAAGGCCTGCTGTGCTTCCCACGGAGGGTGCTCGAGCAAGTGGCACGTACCTGAGACACATGCAGCAACGTGGCACCATGGCCTCATGCTCTTTCTGCTCAGTGCGAGCCCAAGCCCGGGAACTCCATTCCTGTGGGCACCGACCCGCCTGGCACCTGAAATCCTTCGGGGCACTGCGTCGCCGTGCCCTTGGCGGGAAGAGACCGCCTGGCATCCCAACATGCTCTCGCGCCCTTCAAGTTGAGCATGCAAGGGTTGGGACGCGTGTGATGCCTGAGGTCCTGAATGCCGGAGAGTCGACTCAAGAAGAAAAGCTCTAAGGAGACTTTCCCTCCCTCGAGCCAGATGTCTAAGGCTCTTGCATTCGCCATCACAGGTTGACGAGTCTCCCCTTTGCAAAAAAGGGCCACAAGGCCTTACGGATCCCTCGACATGGCTCAGCGCAAAGTCTGGAAGCAAGATGCTCCCGACGCAGCAGGCTGAACTCACGAAAAACTTGACTACACCCTATCCGCTGTTCTCGGCTGCCCGGCAAAGTCTGGCTGTTGTAAAACCTCTAACCCCCAAGCCTGAAACCAAAAGCTCCAAAAGTCACAAGCCTCATGGGCGGCTGGCCCGGCTGGACCATCAGCGGCGCAGCCGGTGGGCCTGCAGCTGGAGGCCACCTATGCCTTGAAGGTGTCGTCTAGCGAGCCCCAAAGAAACCGAGTTATCGCGGCTGGACGTTTCCTTGCGCATTGTGGTACTAGTAGACATGTTGTGCTGCTGTGGTCGTGTCCCAATCATCGACCAGGAGATGCTTTTCTTTTGCAGGTTCAGCACTTGCCGGTTGAGCAGTTTGCCCAGGAAGTGGCTGGATATATTAAGGCACAGAAAATGCAAGGAACCCGGAGTAAGAGACAGCTAGCATCAAGGTGCAAGGCCCCTGCCAGAACATGGCAAGCTGTGATCAGGTGTCGTGCTTTGAACTCTCTCGGCTTCTGCCGTGCCTCGCAGGGCCTCGTCTGCCTGATCTTCCGCCTGCCGACACTACTTCCGAAGCCAAGCTGAGTACATTGAGACGAGGATCATCGCTGTCAAACGTTCTGATCGCACCTTCGGTCATTGTTCGGTAGCTGTCGAAACTCGCTAATGGCATCTCATGCAAATCACGACTGACAGCATCTATCCTGATCAACTGGTGGCATGGCCTGCCATGCCACCTCCCAAAATCACTAGTCATTAGTCCTTTCAAAGCGCTTGAACAGGCTTGCATGCGAGCCTTCTCTCCGACTCGCAATGGCTGCACCTCGGACAGGCATGGTCGCCCTTTGCGGGGATTTAGACCATAGCCGCAGCATGCTTCGGTGGCGAAAAGCGGTGCTTGCAAGATTTTATTCAGTCTTTCGTTTGTGCTGGCTGTGACACCCTTGCTTCAAAACCCAACACCCATGACCCTTTGCAGGCTTTTTGCAGGATTCGGTGCCGTTCAGGCTCAACATGTTCAACAAGGCTTAGAGGTCTTTAGGGATCCAGGGTTGCAGGTTCCCTCTTGTGATCAAGCCCGATGTGGTAAGGACTCGGCGGAAATGGAACGCGGTGCGGTGCCAGCCTGCCTTAACAGTGGATGGAGTGGCTAGCTCAGTTCTGGAAGTTGAGATGTGGCGCAGCACACCTATGAAACGACTGGACGGCTCAAGTGCTCGAAGCAAAGGCAGAGCCTGAATATGCTGGAACATCCTGGAATAAACAACGGCTAAGAGGTGAAGGTCGCCCAACTACGGCAGGAAGTCTTCAGGGTGCGGGCTTTCTGCCAGAGGCTGCTCACAAAAGCCAGACGATTTTCTGCACCTCCCCTCGCGGTACAGCTAGCTGCGAGCAGCTAAGCAAAGACCCCGGCAAACACGGTGTAGTTCTCGTCACTGTGACTGCTCCCAACCGCCACACTGAGACGAGCATCAGTTCAGTCGCTGACGCTTTGCACCAGCAAAAGAAGGGACGTAGCCCACTTTGCGAAAAGCCTCCCAGATTCTCATTCGCTCATACCACTCGCGCTCAAGCTCCTTGTCAGCATCGGACTTGAGGCTCGGTTCCCGGTTCACCTTGTCTCCGAGGATGAGCGGCAGAATTTCCTTGAGACGGACGTCGGCAGAGAAATCGACCTTGTTGGCTGCCGCAGCCTCTTCCAACTGTCTCCATTCGGCCTCGGATGGCAGCACGGCCTCCGACTCCCGGAAGAGACGCTGCAAATCCACGGGCTTTCCAAAGGTCCAAGCTGTCAGAATGTGGCCTCGCACCGTGTTGGTCTGAATTGGAGCGCCTGAAGCCGGTCGCATGGCGATGCTCTGCAGAGACTCGTTTTCTGCGAAGCGCTCGTAGGAAAGCTCCCAGGAAACCTTGGCCCCGCGCCTTCCGGGTTTGTAGACCGCGGCCGGCCACTTCCTGGGCGGCGTCACACTGCCTGCCGGAAGCTCCATCGTCGAGTCCGGCTCGCCTCGTGTTCTCTCCTCTGCCTCGGCGTTTTCTCCCGCTCCCTTCATCTCCTCCTTGGCCTTTTGGATGATCTTGGCCAGCTCCTCCGCTCCCGAAATGCGCACGCCGACGCTCTTGATGGCCTCCACGGTCGTGGGTTGGACGTAAGTCAAGGCGATGCACGAGTACTCAGAGAGCACGGCGGCAGGCGCCAAGCGCAATCGCACGGCGGCCTCGGCGCGCCAGCGGAGGATCTCTTTCCTGAGCGCCTCGTGACGGTCAGCTTTCGCCAAGAGCTCTTCTTTGCCGCTGGCTTTCCAGTGCTTCAGCTTGCGAATGTACCAAAGGACTGGGCCATCATCCGCCATTTGGTCGGCGGACAGAGTTCTTACATCCAAGCCGAAACTGGAGACTTCTCGTTCCCTGGCGCTGCGCCGCTCTTCCTCATCGGCCTCCTGCTGTCGGATTGTGGCTGTGATGGGCAGATCCACCGGTGCGTTGCTCTGCAAGGCTGTTCGACCAGCTTCTGTGAGGCTGTAAACCTCGAATGTCTTGCAGAATGAGCTCGGATTATCAGTCTTGACGACTGTGCGCTGTAGGTATCCGGCACCGCAAAGCGACACGATCAGCTCCCGAACGACAACCTCCTTTTTCATCAACGCTGGCAAAGCCTGCCGGAGTTGTTGTATCTGCGGCTGTGCGGCAGCTACAGTTCCTGTGATGCTGTTGACTCCCTTTGGCTTCCAGGTCCCTGTGATGATCTGGAGGAGATGAGTCAACGCCTCATGGTCACGATCCTTTCTTCAAAAGTGGCACACTTTATTTCATCGAGCGCAACCGAGGTCCGAGCTTGCGGAAAGCGCTGGGTCGCTGCCACAGCATGCAGGATCGGGGCCACCGCGGCTCGGAAGTCGCGCACGTCCTTGCCGTTGGCCACGCTGTTGTCACAGAGGCCACAGTGACCTAGGCACGAATCTTTGTATGGAAGTCTGAAAGTTCCAGACAGCGATACAAAAACAGCGGAGCCAGAGGTGGGACGAAGGGACGGTAGGAGGGCGTCTCACCGAAGTACTCCAAAAGCCAACGCCATCGGCAGCTGCTGCAGCTTGCGAAGTTGCGCAGCGCTTCTGTGGAAGCCGCGACCTGCTTGATATTCTCCTCGCTTAAACTCTTCGTGTAGAAATCGGAGGAATATTGGCGGAAGTCCCCATCTGACGTAATCAGCTCGCACACTGAGTCGAGTCCATCTCGGCCCGCACGGCCAATCTGCTGAAAGTATTCCTCCACAGTTTTCGGAGGCCCGTAGTGAATGATACGCCTCACATCCGGCTTGTCGATCCCCATGCCAAAAGCAACCGTTGCAACAACGACCTGCACCTGCCCGTTCAGGAAGGCCACGTGCGCATCTTCACGCGCAGCCATGGACAAGCCACCGTGGTAGCACGCGACCTTCAAGCTGGGGGCCAGCTTCTCGCCCAGGAAACCCGCGACGCTCTCCGCATCACTCTGCGTCATGGCGTACCTCGGGTGTCCATGCGCATCTTCAAAAACAACCTTTCTAGGTTTCAGGGTTTGATGCTTCGGGCACGTGTTGGCACTTATCTCGATGGCATGCAGGATTCGCATAAAGGTGGCGGTACGCCGGGAGGGACTTCTACTGTATTACTGCTTCGGGCACGCAGCTTAAAGCTGAGAATCCGCAATTGTTAGGAATCTCCCCGTGCAAACACGCACCCAAAGCGTACCGGCATGTTGGGCTAATTCGGCCTTTTCTGCTGCCAGGTAGCACAATGGTGCTGCCTCTGTGTGCCTCTATGTCATTGGCGATGCGGAGAAGATCCGCCGCCTTCGAGGTCTTCCTCGTGCACCGCAGGTGGAGGTTCGGTCGGTAAGAGCTGGAATGGCTCGCCAGCGGATCACGAAGTTGCAGTTGCTGCAGTATGTCACGTTGTACGCGCGTGGAGGCTGTGGCCGTGAGGGTCATCAAAGGTATGGTGGGGAGCGTCTCGCGGATGGCGTGGAGGTTGCGGTAGGAGGGGCGAAAGTCGTGTCCCCACTCGGAGATGCAGTGGGCCTCGTCGCAGGGCAAGAACAGGGGAAGGAAGACCCTGGGAAAAGAGATCATATGTACGTTGGCACCGTCTCTCAGAGGCCGCGGACCTCATCGATGGCCACCAGGAGCAGCGACTGCAATGGAAGCTTCCTCACAAGGGGAAGAAAAGTTCTGGTCTGAAGGGTGGCGAGAAAAAACTTTAAACAAGCCGAAGCTGGCGCCAACCCCGGCTTGGCTTTGCAAGATGTTCCGCAGTCCTCAGGAAGTCCCCCCCCGTCCCCGTCAGCTTCTCCGGTGTCAAGTAGATCAAGCAGAAGTGGCCCGCCAAGGCCTTCGCCTCGATGCTCGGGTCCGTTTGTGCGGATCCCAAGAAGCAGGCCTGGAAGCGACCCTGGGCGCCCACCGTCCTGGGCGGAACGGCGGCGGAAGGCGGCTGAAGCCTCTTGCGGTCGTGTCTTTTAGGGTCGGAGCAACTGAGGCCTGGTCGCGTTGAAGCGGTGGACTTGATCTTGCATCAGGGAGATGAGGGGCGAGACCACTAGGACCGTCTTGCCGCTCTGCACCGCTGGCAGCTGGTAGCACAAGGATTTCCCCGCACCTGTGGTCCAGAACACAGCCACATCCCGATGTTCAAGTGCTGCCAGGGCGACTTCACGCTGTCCCGGTCGGAAGCTGTCGTAACCGAAGTGTTCCTTGAGCGTGGCATCTAGTGCAGCAGCCATGCTGGTCCCTGCTGCGGAAGCTCGTTGCAGCTGTAGCTTGAGCCAGCAACAGCCGCAGCCAGCAGCGCATGCGGAAGGTCCTGGTCTGTAAAGCTTGAAGCCCTGAACCCGATTTACCGAGTCGAGAGCCCAGTGGATGCTACTGCTCGCATGCCCCCCTCAGCTCATGATGTAAGTAAGTTGTCATCAATGTCAATTAATTGTCCCTGTGTTGGCAGCCCGAGCCTTTTCCACAACTCCTGTGTGGCATAAGCTGCGGCAAGCTCCTCTTCGAAAACACTCGGGAAGAACATGGGAACTGATCTCAAAGAAGGGCGAGATATCCACACGCTCTCTTCACGAAGTGCTCGCAAAGAAGATACCCTAGCAAGGCGAGACACTTACCCCACCTCAAACTGCGAATGCTAACCATCCTCAAGCATGGAAAAAGCTCAGAACATGTCAGGTTTGATGAAACCACCACCAAAAAGAATGCTCCAGACATCAGGCCGGATCCTGGGGTTGATGACTCTGTGGATGATGGACCACTGACGGGCGCTTGACCTGCAACCCGCAGCGATGCGCGAGGGGATGCTTACTTAGATCACAGCCCAAAGCTCGCACACCACCCCTCACCAGCTCGAATCTGCCCATCCCACCTCACCGTGCCAGGAGCCTGACCTGTCAGGTTGCCCGGACTGAAAAGTCGAGTTGCAAACCATTCTCAATCGTGGAAATACGAAGAGCAGCGCGGAGAGTCGCAGGGGTCTGCATTGGCGTTGAGGCTTCTGCTGCAGAAAGCCATGCCTGACACCATCGGGTGAGCCGCCGTGAACCTAGCCGGCAACGGCGAAGTCATGTGCGAAGAGGCCATGCTCCGAGTATCAAAACGCCTCTCACTTTGGCATGACTTCGTCGCCGAGCTGTGTAGCATGAGTCGACATTTAGCCCATCGGGGTGAGACCAGCACAAACTATGCAGCAAGGGGGTTCAGTCTTACAGACAAAGACGATGTGAGATTGTAGACTTTCGTCGTGCAAGTAGAGCCCTGCCCGAGGCCGTGCCCTCGCCTTTCGGATCTCCGGTTCCTTCACGATGTGGCCATTTGTTGGCTTTTCGGCGGCGACCTCCTCAGCATGCGGCTCTGCAAGACAAGTCAGAGCCGAAAGCTCCGATGTCCAAACTCAGCTCATCTTCGCAGTTTCTTGGCGCCTCCTTCTGGACGTTCAGAGGCTTTGCAGGAGCCTTCTCCTCCAGGTCGACTTGCAGGGTCGCCGCGTACCTCCCCGACGCTTTGGGGTCTTTTTGGCTCAGAGATTCTTTGAGGCGTCGGCTCCCTGTCCATCGCGGCAATCACATTCTTCATGGGCACTCTGACTGGATGACGCAGTGGGAAATCTCTTGGTGTACCTGACACGATTCGGCAAAGGGCTGCAGCGGAGCGGCTTTTGCACGCCACCTGCTCCGCCAGCAACTTCTCACAGAAGGAGCAGAAGAGATCCGGCTTTACCAGCACATTGAACCTCAACAGATTCGCTTGGCACAGAGTCTCACAGCACGTCTTAATGACCATGTCCGGCCTCACAAACCGTCTGGGCCGTCTCGTGGGGGCATGGGAGAGTCCCCGTGCAACGCTGGAGGTTTAAGACTAGAAAATGGCTCTTGAAAGGGACTTCGAAGCCTCGAACCTGCAGGCGCTAGGCTTCGGACACATCCCCCAAGACCCGAAGCTCTGAACCCAGGGTAGAAGTATTCGGGCACACACACACACAGAGAGCGAAAAAAAAGCATGCAGACAAGCACGCTTCAGAAGGCTGAGCTCGCAACTTGATCTCCTCTAAGAACTCGCTCTCCATGCGGTTGAGCTCCCCATTGCTGAGGACCTCTGCAGTCTGCGTAAACACAAGGTCAGAAGGACCTGTGGCCCCGAGGTCCAAACCTTGAATGTGAAGCCTCCCCGAAGCCTGTCTCTGAGTTCTGAGCCGGAAAGAGCTTCGCCAGGGAGCTATTGCGAACCGGCTTGTCCTGTTCGGCAGAGCGCCATCCAAGCCTTCTGCATCAAAACTGAAGATCGTAACTACCCCCGCATCCATACATCCATAGATGCTGTTGGTGCCCACATCAGTCCTCCCACATCTTGTCGGCCAGTAGCAAAGACCTGAGCTTCCTAGACTCTAGCTGCTCTAGCCAGGGTCGGCTAGCGCGAGGATCCTTGGTTCCTCCACACTGGCAGCAGTGCTTCTTGTGTGGATCGCAGAATCGCAGAAGACACAACATCCACGGAAGCCTTCTCCCTTTGTTGCTCTTTACCTTAGGGAGAGACCTCGAAGCAACAGGCTACAGAGTCGCACTTAGCGATTCCGAATCACGACCCATCCCCCGTGAAGGTTAAGGCTCCAAGTGCCAGGGTCAACATCAGAGGCTCCTGGCTCTCTTTCCTAGAAGGCCGCTGAAACCGACAAGGGCTTAAGCGTCATGTTCCCCACAACCTCCTGGGACGCCGTATTGGTACAGGCGTGCTGCCAAGCCACGTCAGGAACAACGGCCGCCAAGTGCAGGCATGGAGAGTGATTCTGGAACTCTCCTTGAACCTGCCGCACAGTTGTGAGTGGACAATCTGACTACGTCCAAGATGTGTACGAAGGAAGTTTGCCTGCTGAGGTAGATGACGCTGACGATGAACGCAGAGACGCTGAAGATGCCCTGATGGTCGGGAGTGGGTCAAATCGTATCTGTGCTCATTTGCCTGGCCTGGTGCAGGATGCTCAGGATAAAGGAGCAAACATGCAAGGCCGAGCAGTCGTGGACCTGAGCCTAGCTGGGCGGCTCGGGCCAGGGCCGGGGCCGGGCCGGGGTCTTCCAGAGTCTCGGCAAGTGGAACGCCGGCCCTACTCTTCGGCAACAACTTGCGGTCCCAAGCGCCGACTCCGGAAAGATCCGGTTCAGGTCAGGCTTGTTCTTGTGGTAGGGAACCTCTCCGCCCCGGACCGACACACGAGCGAACACCCCCCAACCAACACACTTCGCAAAGGCGTGTAGTTGCGCTACCCTTTTTCGTGTCGCGCCGGGGCGGGGCCTCGAAGAAGAGCCGGAACATCTGGTTGCCCTGCAATCGATTTGCAGCAAGAAGAAAGCACAACACGCGACGCGCGTCTGTTTAGACTCTCTTCCTTGTTTTAAAGGGCACACAATTCCCCTGGGACTCCGATAGTCTAGACTTGCACAAGTCAGAGATATGATGTCCGTCTGGCATGTGCATCCATGCGCATGGAAGTCCAGCCGACTTTTTCTGTCGGGAGCAGCGTCGAAATGACGCCAGATTCTATAAGTAGACAGAGGCCTCCATTCGTTGCAAAACGTCCGCATCGGAACGGATGTGGCCTTAGACAGCAAACGAGCTAACGCTTGGACCGCGTTCTGGGTGACCCCAACCGAAAACACCGACACGACTCTGAGGCCCCCGCGGTGGAAGAAATGGATTGCCGCACACAGCAGCTGAGTCTGGCTTGCAATAGAATGGGCTCGAGAGGTCAGGTGCACCTTGAAAGTTCTGGGCTTATGCCAGAGCCTTCAAAAGCTTGTGGTGACTCCATGTTCCACTACAAGGATCACGAATCCTGGGTCTAGTCTCGATGGGCGAACAACATAAGTATTGTCAGGCGTCACTGAGACTGTTCTGCCGCGAAACTGGACCTTCAACCCGATGCAGCCCTGATGCAGCCCAAGCCCGGAAAAAAAACGGGCGCTTCAAGGCCTGCAGGGCACTGAAGCGCTGCGCAGTCGTCTCCTCTGCCTTGGCCAAAGACTGGCCGGAGCCTGAGAGAAATCGGCAAAGCGACGATCAAAAAGACGGGGAACTACAGACAGCAGGATTCCTGAAACTTTGCATTCCACTACCACAAAAACTCCAAACACAACATCAAGCAAGACTGCCAATACGATCTTTTGAAGTCTTGACCGGCGCAGTCCACCAGCCTTGAACACCGAAGGCCAGTCTGGCCGCCGGAACCCAACGCAAAACCTGAGAAGCCCCAAGCTGCCTTGGTCTGCGTCGTCGGTCATGGGCGGCGCTGCCTGCATCCCAGTCACCATGGATCGGACAACTTCCGGACGTGGTTTGCGCCTGTTAGCAGACACGTGGCCCCGGCATGGCGTTGCGGCTGACTGCCATGGGATGCTCGTCTTTTGACTGTCAGTTTGCCTTGGCCTTTGCTTCCCGAGGGGTTTGTGTGGGCACATGGTGGCGACAGATGGACGCGAGATTGAGCCTTTGATCTACACAGGAGTCTAGTCGGCTACTGGTAGCAAGAGTGCAGAGCTGGACTAACGACTAGAAGGTCGGCAACCAAGCGCAATTTCAAGAGTGTTCTAAATCCTAGAGGTCCTAGCGATCGACATGTTTGTGGAGTGTTGGGCTGCGTGTCTCGTGGCTCGAGCCCAGCGACGGCAACTGGCACCAGCCAAGAGTTTTCCATCAAGACTTATTTGCCAAGCGGCAGGATTGGGGTTTCGGATGTCTTGGTCCTCTTCCTCGAGGACTTTTGATTAGAGTCTTGCACGATGCTGCAAGGTGATTGGCCGAACATACGTGCAACAGCAGGATCAATGAGTCGAATAATACTTGCATGCATCTATTGCCTGCAGTACCTTGCTGCATGCTGCCGCCAGCCACCGAAACTTTCAGACTGTTGTCGTGACATCGCGACTGCACTTCTAGTTTTGATGAAGAAAATGGTGATACGTGTATCGCGGAGCACTAGACTCGACCCTAACTTGAATCCTGTCACCCCGACTTGCACCCTCAGAAAATGCGTCCGGGTTTGCCCATCGCACAAAGCACGTAGCTTTGGATACTCGGAAAGTAAGCCGAAAGCCTGTGAACTTGGTTGAGCATTCACACCTGCGACGTTTCTTCCCAAGGCTTACCCATCCATGGGGGCACATGAACGCAGGGTGATGCCTTGGTGGCGGCATCCAACATCCCAGTACAATAGAAAGCCGACTTGTGCTAAATCCGAAAAGACTCGAACGACTCTGAGACATGGCTTCTGAGAAAATGGGGGGGTGCTGAGGGAACCGTGGATCTGCAAGATTTATCCCCCAGATCTTAAGCTCCCCCACGCCAAACATCCAGACACGGGATGGTTTCGCAAGCCGTGGAGGCTGGAAGGCCTGAACACCCTCCAGGAACCGGGAAAAAGGGATGCTAAATGGCTGCTTGCGCGAACTTAACATGTTGCACTTGTCGCTAGCGCACTCCAAACCTACACCTTAGAATGGAAAGGTCCCGCAGCTGAGTGCCTGCAACATCGTCACTGCACAAAGGCTTTTTCCACAGCAAGGGACCAAGAGTCAAACAGACTGGAGCCCTCAGCTCAGCACGCGCACCTGTGAACACGCTATCCCTCCAAAACGCTGGCTGTCCATCGTCGCAAGCCACGACTCACACGTCTGGTCACATACAAACCAGAAGCAACCCCCACATTGGATGTAGTAGCCCTTGGCAACCTCACCCGAGCCAGTCAGCTTGCAAAGCTTGCCTTATCCCCCGAAACCCTGACTGGGGCCAATGCCGAAGAACTGGAGGAAGAGCAGCTGCGGTGGCTCTCCTGCCGAGAGCATACCCCAAAGCTTGCCCCAAGCATCACCTCAAGAACTCGACGCCCGTCAAGCCCAAACCCCCTTGCGGCCCTTGCCGCGTTGCAGCCCTCTCTCATGAAGAAGCATGAAGCTATGCTTAAACAACTAGAGCACAAGGGACCTCGCTCCAGCTCAGGCGCAGCTTCTTTCTGGTGCCACCCTGGAGCCACGAAACCCCGACCGGGAGGCGTGTAGAGTTTTGGGGCAGAGGTTGCAGACCATGTGACAGCCAAGCTGGCACCGAAAAGGCCTCCGTGACGGGCTCAGCGACTGGGACTGGGCGGCCCTTGAGCTCCTGCTGCACCTGCCACCTGGAGGATATGGAAAGTTACAAGACTTGGATCCAGCATGACACGACTCAAAGCCTAGCCCAGTAGCCACTGAACGGCATAACAGCCTAGATTCTAAATAGAAAGTGTAGCGAGGAATCCAGTGCTATGAGAGGCCTTTAAGATTTTGTCACATGGGCAGCGCGCATCGTGCTCCTACTGTGTTGTTCAGACGAGCACGACTAGTGTTGCTACCGACGGATTCTGACTTACACGGCCTTCGTTGTCAAATTACTGTTGCCATGTGCCGGATGATCTGGACGATGATGACCAGCATGATCACCATGTTGGCCTTCTAGTTCTTTGTCGCCACGAGTGCATCATCGCTTCTGCGGTCCGGTCCAGTTTAGATTCGCCTGACCCTGGTAATGCTGCTTTTCTTCTTCTGTACTTTACTACGCCTGGGATGATCTGCTTTGCAGTGAGACCGAGTACTGTGCACCAGTGTTCGTGCCAATTCGCAATCCCCGAGAACTGCAGGGTGCTGCCTGACTCTGTCGATTGCTTCGATGACTTTAGGATCTGATTCCTGCGCACAAGACGTCAGCACGCGATTCTTCCAAGGCACTCTAGAGAAGTCTTGGGATGCTGCTGCGCCTCCAGCTCCTTCAGGGCTTGGACCCGCGAGAGCCACACTGAACCATTCGGAGGCCTTCTTCGCAGGTGGGAACAGCAAAATGCCCAAAGGGCAAAGGGCAGAAGGGCTGGGGTACGTGGAATCCAAGTCTTTGCAGAAAGGCCGACAGCACGTCAGGCCCTGGCAACACCCACATGGTGATAGCAGTTGGATAGGCCCGGCCTGGCGATGTCACGAACTTATTGCAAAGCACATGCATCAACACATCCAGGGTGCTCGACTCCTCCGGCAAGTACTGCAAGTTTGGGATCGAGGTCTTATGACTCTTCAAACACGCCAAAACATCCAGAAACATATGGCTTCTCCACGCAACTTTTCCTACCGAACAAGTCTTGAGGGCACACTTGCACTTGGATAGGTTCGGCCTGGCATGGGGATTGACACCATAGAAGTGCAGAGGGCCAGAGATTTCCACAGAAGGTTAATTCAGAATCCAAGGTTCAGAGAAAAGCGACGCTCTCATTCTCTCTTTATTGGGGGGGGCATTCGGAAGGGGCCATACTTTGTTTACTGCATCTCCCTCCCCATGTATCGGCCACAGGACCAAAGGCAAATAGAGGTAACTTGTCGTATGTCCTTGTGGCTGCGAAGAGCTTCAGATGTGTTGTTGGCCCTTCACTTCCCGAGAACGTGTGAGGGGCCTTTTACGTGCCAGCCGGCAGCAGGCCCAGAATCGATGTATCTGACCTGGGCTGGGTCACTGAGATTAACTCTTCGATGCTGCGGATGATGATCACAGCGGCAACCATGCTGTCTGTCGTGTGACGGCTTGCTGCTTCTCATGTCTCGTCTTCTGTCATATTACACCTTTTGCGGGGGTGGTGATGAACATGATGCTGCCTGCGACGGCCCTCTTTGCTTGAAGTCTTTGGGACCGACCCTGAACCAGAAAAGTTTCTGGAGCCTGTATTCTTCGCCAGTGTTTTGTATGGCACGTTAACCGGAATCAATGCTCGCCGAAGCCGCGAGTACTCGATTCAGAATTTCAGGGAGGTAGCAACACTTGGCGGACTCCGGCGTTCCTTTGCCGGGGCCCCAACCAGTCCTGGGCTCTTGCCAGTCTTGCCTTAGCCGCGAAGAGAGGGATCGGGCAGGACCACGAGAAGATACACCTCTAGCTGCTAGCTCCTTTGGTGAAGAGGCCCTTGCCGGGCCCCGCTTCGGGCAGCTGCTTCGAGCAGTTCTTTGCTCTATCAAGGCCTCACCTGTTCCAACTTGAGAAATGCCTTGAGAGAAGGCTCCAGTAGGTTGCCGCGCTTCAGCTTCGGGGATTCAGTGATTGAAGGCTTCTGGAACATGATCCATTGCCTTCAATGCTACAGGGGGGCTCAAGACATCAGGGTTTTGAAGCTTTGCGCAGCGAAGCTGAGCGACGACCCTCAGCACTCTCTCGGCATCCGGCTCGGGAGGGCGCCTTGGTTGCTGACCTTCTCAACAGCAACAGGAATCCACGACATGCCCTCAGCGTCTGCGCTACACAACACTCTGCGGCCATGCCGTTGTCCAGAAACTGCTGCGTCCTTGACTGCAAACTCCAGACCTTTGAAGTTTTATGTCACGTGTCTGCATCAATGTACTCAGAAATTGGTCGGCAGCATTAGTCATCTTTTGCTGAAGGAGATGCTGCTAGAGTGAAGCGAGATGTCTCTGGCAAACTCATCACTGAAAAGTCAGAACAAGTCTATCTGATACTGGAATAGCTCTGGCTGCGCGCTTCTCATCTTGATGTCTTCAATTCTCGACTGAATCTGGATCAAGCACTCCCTACGGCGAAAGATCTCCTCGCTTTGAAGCCAACATGAAGCTCGAGCCGAAGACAGCACCCGGCCTTCTCCGGTGCCTTCTGTGCGGCAATCCTTTGCACTTCGGCTGCCTTCTCCGCCTTCTGTGCGGCAATCCTCTTCACTTCGGCTGCCCTCTCAGCTGCCTTGTGTGCAGCAATCCTCTTCGCTTCGGCTGCCCTCTCAGCTGCCTTCTTTGCTGCATTCCTCTTCGCTTCGGCTGCCTTGATTGCTGCGGCCTGCTTTGCAGCTGCCTGCGAAACGAAAGGGCAAGAGGAGAGAGGAGAGACAGGCAACGTTTCGCAGGGGCTGCAGAGCTGCAGTCCTGTGAGCTACCATGTCGAGGAACTCTCAGCGAAGTCGCATCAGCACCTGAGCCTGTTCAGCTTGCGGCCTTCACTTCAAGATCTTTGCAGAACCGGGGCTTGAGAAATAGGATATGGAAGCCGTTGGATCTCTTTCACTGGGGCGGCTTTGAACCACGCGGACTTCCCCTTCCTGTCCCTCCCTGCCCTCAGGCCTTTTCCTTTCGAGAAATAGCCTTGCCACGAAGGGTTCAGGTACGGCTTTGTCGGGGCCCTGCTCTGCTTTCGAGTTGGCGGATGAGTTTGGGGTTCACGTCAGGCACTGAGCACTCCCAACAAGACCACAGCCTCCAAACTGCATGACAAGCTTTGCATGACAAGCTTCACGAGAACATGCTGAACATCAAGGCGCTCCACTCGCTTTTGGCCACATGGGGTGATGCTTGCTTTGAGTATGGTATCTACCTACTATGAAGCCCACCAGACCTGCCAACCTTTGGGCACAGACTTTGGTGTGCCACGCAAAGCCTGGAAACTTAACTCAAAAGCAATCAACCAGGGCTGCCGCTGCTGCTGCGGATGCCTTTGCTGCCTCCAAGCGGATCGTCGTGCATGCTGCAAGGAACAGCTTTCCGATGCCCCTTACCTAGTGTTGCAGGTATCTGAGCGACTGGCCTTCAATTCAACATCTTAGTCGCGTGCTTCCACTCTAGCAGATTATGTGCGTCACAAGCCCAGAGTCTCATAGGCCGTAGGCAAACCCGTTCCAAGCCTCCAAGGCGTTCATCTGGCGCCTCATTGCCTGTGGGCGACAGATGCCAGCTTGGGGCCAGCTTTTGCCACGCAGCCTTCCTTGTTTGTTAGGTTACCGACACCAAGGATGTTTTGGAATAAGATGTCCCAGGATTATTCACAGCCTCAGTTCGCCAGGCCTTCCTTGGTGTCCTTACGGCGTTCCGGCTCAACCCGCCAACCCTGCAATCCCTCGTCGGAGCAGGATGTCCTCACACCGAACTCCTAATGACATGATGCGTTGCCGCCGACTACGAAGCCTCCACAGACCCCGCGAAATAGACAGAGCTTGGCGGCTTGAATTGAGTCCGAAAACCTGAGAAGAAGCAAGTAGCTGGGCCGGGTGCGCTCTCGTAGTCCTTGTCTGCGACCACCAGCTTTGCGGAAATCCTGACGCAAGCTGACGAAGCTGATGCTTGTTGCCGCTACGACGACGAGGACGACCCCTGGTGTGACCACCACGACGACGACGACCAGCGCTGCTACTGCTGCTGCTGCTGCTGCTGCTTGAGTGGCGTGATGCTTGTTTTCAGTGCATCGACCCTGCCATTACCAGCAGAAAGACGGCACAACAGCGCCAGAAAGAGCCACGGTCAATCAACACCGTTCTTGCCCACTCCGTCCAGATCCCGATTTTCGAAGCTTCGAGTCTGTAAATCCTCGACGTCGGTCGAGCTCCGATGCAGTCGAGTCGTCCGGTGCACTCGAAGTCGTGAAGTCGTTTTGGGCTTCAAGCGGAGGTGGGGATCTCCGACCACAGGCTTCACAGATTTGCAATTCCTTTCTTGCCTTCTGTGTCTCAGCTGATGCTTGCGAAGCCAGAGGAGGTGAGCACAGCTGGGGTCGCTGACCAGGCCATGACGCCCGTTGTCGGCTGAGACGAGAAGGAGGCAGTGCTGCATGTGGAAGAGAACACACAAGTGTTTTGCTTGCAACAGGCATGTGAGATCAGATGTCATTTCATGGGAGCAGCACCAAGCCACAGCAAAGGAATCTGTATCTTAGGCCGACGGTATGATATGGCGTACAATTCATTACCTGACCCATCGCTGTCTGGAGAACTACTTTTGTGTGTCCTTGCCAGGCTTTGTTTTGATAGCTGCAGGCATGGCGGGGAAAGGCCGTGAGTCATCGCAGGCATCTCCCTGAGCCCACGCCCTCCCTCACCGCCTGCGTGTGAACTCCTTCACCTTTGCCTTGAAAGCAGCCTGGCGACAGGGAACTTCCGGAACGGTTCACAGGTGGGGCGCTTGCCTCTTGGGCGCAGTCTCGGTAGTTTTGCATGACAACTTTGGTGAACTCTATGCCCTGTGCCTCTGCTCTTCTTCTGGCGCGACCCTGTGATCTCAATCCCAAAATCGACAGACTGAAGAACCAACAATCACGCGGGAGCTTCGAAACCAAACCAAAGCCTTTCCAGTCTTTTTGCCAGCGCTGCAAAGCAGAACGCGTGAGTGTGCTCAGTTGCTGCTCGTTGTTGGGCGGAACCTGGGCTTGGGGCCTAGACTGCTGCGATCTGCTGCGACAGCTGTGACCCTGCGGTCCAGTGGCTACAAGGAAAGGCGTGTCCGCACGTCCGGCAGCCAACACGTCGTCGAATCGTTGCAGCAGGGCCTGTTCCTCCGGGCCAGAGCAGAAAAAACGCGACTTGAGAGCCACTTCACCATCAGAGCCGTACCTTGGCGCCGCCCCAGACCGAAGAGCCCCGCCGGAGGGGCGACCAGTGGCCTGCGCGCTGGCCTCATGGAGACTGAACTTCGCGAAACAAGGTGTTTCGGATTCAGCAGCTTCTGCTCCTGAAACTACATCCCGAGCAGCTCATCATCCTCCTCCTCCTCATCATCACCAACTACTGCCACTGCTACTGGTCCTGGTCCTCGTCCTGCTGCTACTACAACAACAACAACGACAACAACAACAACTACTACTACTACTACTCCTACTCCTACTCCTACTCCTACTGCTACTGCTACTGCTACTGCTACTGCTGCTGCTGCTGCAGCAGCAGCAGCAGCAGTAGTTGCAGCAGCAGCAGTACTAACAGGATAAGTAGTAGTACTAGTACTAGCACCATTACAAATACCAAGTACCAGTACCAGCACTAGTGTTACTCCTGTGGTTGATGTGGAGCAATAAGCAAGAGGAGCAAGGCAAGGATGGTGCAACATTACCTGCACTGCTGCTCTTACTTAGTTCTCACGCCAGCAGCTTCACTCAAAGCCCCGCAGCACATTGAGAAGCTCATTCCGCAAGCATTTGCCTGTGTACCCTCTCGAATTACTTCTGGACGGCAATGCACTACGGCACTACAGTTTCTAGGGTCGCTCTCAAAGCAGTCACGTGTATGTGGCTTCGTGCTGCCGCCGCAACCATTTCAACCGCCACTGTCACAACATCTTCCAACACCTTTGCTCCTACTACTCCTACAGCTACCACTCCCCCGCCTTTCCACGACTGAAATGGCTACTGCTGCTGCAACATGAAACAACTGCAAACTGCCAAGCAAAGTAACTGCACTACCTATGCATGCGGATAGCATACTCGGCATCTTTATGTACAGTACCAAGACTCACACTATGAAGTAGAACGCTAACACCAGCATCTGACTGGCGCTCAGCCGCGGAACATGATTCCAGAGTCGTCTGCTGCGCAACGTCTGTGTGGAGGCGGTGGCGGCACCTTGCATGTTTGAGGAGAGTCTTGTTCTGAGGCATGACTTGAATGATCTTCTGGGCTGAGCATGACTCTGAGCATGCCTCGACTTAACTTTGTGCGCGGGGGCTCGTTAACTAACTCTTGGTTCGTGCATGTTCGGAACCACCCGAAGTCCCAAACCAACGAGCTTCGTTGCTCTAGGCTGCCTAGCTGGTGGAAGCACGAGGAGGATGAGGCACACCGGCATACCAGACTCTGACTGCAGCTTCTCCAGCCCGGTGACGCTACGAGGAGAGCTTGGCGCCAGCGGCTGCTCCGTGCAAAGGCGTCGAGAGCCGTCTGCGCGCCTTGTGATCGAGCAAACTGGATCTGTCTCAGCTCGGATCTGAGACATGGAACTACATTGGAAACTCTGCAGCGTACATCCCGCTATGATGGACATTCGAGACCTTCTTACTTGCTTCTCATGCAATTGCAGCAACTTTCATGGCATCACCTTTGGGCTGTCGAGGCAGCCACAGGCTACGGCCTACAGCCCTACAGGCTTGCATTGCCCATATGCCACAGCGACTGGACACATTTCCGAGGACGACTTTCCAGAGCCGCAGGACTCCTGTGAGTCTCTCACTTCAACAGTGCACTTCCAGACTTTTGCAAAGGCCGTGCTTCAGCCAGCAGAGTGCTGAAAGATCCAATCCATTCCAATCTCCCTCCCTCCAACAGCAGATAGGCCCAATACTTAGCTGTTGCTATCTGTCAGTCCAAGGGCCAATGCTATCGTACCGCGGTCCAGGAAGTTGAAGCAGTGCCAGGGTGTCCTCGCCAAGGAACAACTCGGTTGGGCCTGGTTTGGGGCTCAGGGTTCCAAATCTCAGCTGGTGCTGGTGCTGAGGCTGGAGGCCTGTTTCCCCATGCCTCCGAAAGTTCTGTGCTAGGGTGCTTGCAGCTGCTTGCAGCTGTTGTTGGTCTCGGCTCCTCGGCCGAACATCGTGATGAATGCGGCCAACCTGCTTTTAGTCCGGTCCTCTATTTGACGGTTCAAACCCAAACGAACGGAACCCAACAAGGCCCCGGAGCCAACGTCGCTGCACCCTAAGTGCAAAGCTTCTAGCAACCCGCATCGGCCTTTCTCACGCACACTCCAGACCTTTCTCTCAGGCCGCTGATAGCTTGCATGGAGAGTCGTGCTCAAGGCTCAAACAAGTGGAAAGCTGTGCGCCTCTCGACTTCCTTCCAGTTGTTCAGGCGTCCTCGGTACATCCAGCGAGTTGGTTGGCCACCAGGGATTTGATCCACCACTTCTCTTACCACGCGAGGCTGACAGGCACATGCCTGTGGCCCAGGTTTGGCCCAGGAATCGCGTCACCCTTCTGACTTGTACTTGTAGAGGGCTTCCACGAGGTGCACGTCCGGTGACGGACGTTGACGTCTTGGCCACAGTGCTGAAGACGGTGCTTCTCCGGCACGGTCCCCTCTAATTCAATGGCTTCCTTCACGTCGTGGAGCAGAGGGGTCAGCAAACGTCCCGAACCGTCACAGTCTGCATTGAAGATATGCTCCTCGCCTTCAGAAGTCTCCGCCTTCTCCGCCACCATTGCTGCTGCCACCGCCCCAAGAGTTGCTACTACCTGAGCATCTGGCAAAAAAGCTGCATCTGCTAATGACCACAGCGTGCTAAGTTTCAAAACACGAGAGGACGTCCAAAGTGACTCGCCGCTCGCCTGCATCAGCCACGTCGCTTGTTGTGGACCCGGTTGTGGAGCCGTCAGACAAGGTCACGACGGGCTGCACCTGGCACTGCCGATGGGTGTTGGGCCGAATGGTTGGGAACCAGCATAAAGCTTTCAGGAGGTTTTGCTGTTGGCCAGCGGCTGGTCAGTGGCATGTTACCTTGATTCCAGGTTGGTGCTCCTCGATTCACGAAAAAAGCTTATCTAGCTTCCAGCACCCAAGTGAAGATGAGAGCACCGACAAGATGTGTCTAACCGTCCCGTGTTGATTGACTCTCCAACCGAACAATCTGCGGACAATCGACAAGATTGACTGTCCCGCTTCCAGCACCATTGTAATATGACAAGCAGGTAAGTTGCTGACAGCATCTGCTTGTATGGGAGTTATGGCCATGTCATGCGTCACCTTACATCTGTACTCTGTTGCTGACATCGAGGAAAACACATGGCAGGACGATGCTACCTTTGGGAAGAACAGGTCTGCTTGCCCACGCTGCTCTGCTGAAGGCCACGTTACAACAAGGGTAGGTGGTGACCATCGTTAGACTATCACCATCACTATCGTCGGCGTCATCGCTGTCAGCCTCCTCGTCCTCCTCCTCGTCATCGTCATCAGGATCATCATGATCATCATCACGGTAGGGTGGCCTCGACGCAGGTGTAGGCGTTGCAGAAAAAGCACTCGGTCTCCTTTCCGGCATTCAGGGGTGGGTTGTGTGTAACTCCGGCCCTCTTTGGCCCTGTTATCTCTTCGAACACGGAACATGTCTGCCAGCCTCCGCTACCTGAACCCAAGGCTGGAGCCCAAGATAACCGCAAACCACACTGACTCGAAACGTCTCCTTGAACGACACGCCGGTGACAGGATTTCGGAAACTCCTGGACAGCTGAGTCCTGTAGCCTTAGTTCAAGCTGGAGTGTGCTGCAACGAAACTGGGCCTTTGATACGAAGAGGATAGCTATGATTTTTTAGGGTTTTAGGGATTTTGTTCAAGAACTAGGGGACAGCTTCGGGAAGTCAGCAGGGTTGGTGCTTCCTGTTTTTTCTCGCGGTATTTCTCATTGCCACCCTAGTGGCCGCAAGCAGGGCAGGTGCGGTACCGTGATGCCCACCTGAGTCAGGACTCGTGAAGGGCGTCAATTCTCGCCCCAATCATAGCTGCCTACAAGCCCACACCCGACACAGTATGCCTGTAACTGCCTGTATGCGTGTTGACATTCGTTTCGTCAATGCCCACCCGGCCTGTCAGCAGCCAGGATTCCAATGGCAGCATCCGTCTTCGCGGCCTCCTGGCGAGGAAGCAGCGAGGAAGAAGGATGATCTAGGGCTGGGCTTGGCTGTCGGCTCAGCACAGGCCTTCACCTCCTGGCCGGTCAACTTCAGCTCCGACGTCCGCTCCAAGGCACCCCCGAGGCGCCGGTCCTCAAAAGAGCCCCACTGATTTTCCCCCTCGAGTTAGAGGAAAGTACCGGATTCGGAATCTGACAGTTAACCCGATATTCCGCAAGCCGTGTGGTCTGTTAGCGCTATGGGCTTCCGTGCAGCCAGCAGTTCCCTGGTTCCCGCAGTGGCGCCACAATTTTTCGACCAAAATCGCGCTCCGCGACAAGCCCCGCGACGGCTGCTTACACCGAAGCCATTTGGACAATCCACGACTGTAGCGCCACTCCAGTCCTCGCAGAATCGTTAACTGCTCTTTTCTAGACTTGGGCGCGGTGGGCTCAAAAAGGCTGTAGGCCAAGCCGGGCCACACTCGTCGGCCTCTCTGGTCTTCGGGTCTTCTCGTGCCGCTACGGCCTGGTGTAGACATTCTGTACGTCCACAGAGCTTAGTACCCTTGGTACCCTGTGAAAGAAACCCGGAAAAAAAACAATACACCTTCAACTATCGCGGAAATCCAAAGCCAGGAGCCCCGAGGGAGGGGCTTGCTGTGGGCCTGCTATAGGACTGTTCGGACTTCGAGCATCTTCGAGCGATCCGACGGCACAATGAACATGGTCTGCGAGAGCAGAGCGACTCATCAGCGGGAGAACGCCAAAGCACGGGAATTTACAGCAGGAATGCGGAATGTACACCGCGCCACACAAGGGAGCCGCGGAACCGCCGTCTGCGTCGCCACGTAGGCTTCGCGCGAAGAGCGACCAGTGTCTGGGGGGAAGCCTTGAATTTTCTGGTAAAACCCTGTAAAGTCCAGACCCCTATTATGGCAGCGTAGATGGTCCGTGAAGAGACGACCAGGACCGTGACCACCACCGCCAAGGGGCCAGCTCAAAACCACATCCTTCCCCTCTTTCTCTGATTTCCGAGGTCTTTTTTTGTTTCACAAACAGAGTGCCTTGAGGCCTTGAGACTCCGAGGCTCCCCGGAGAGACGGCGCACGGCGCCGGCCTTCGCCCAGGAGGCCTTGCAGCCGGGGCCTCGGTTCTCGCTCTCCCTGCAGGCACCGGTTCAACTCGGCCCCTTTATGAAAGAGGCCGGGCTGCGCTTGCAGACGCAGAGGACGTGCTGCGCCGAACCCACGGCCTTCTCCGCCTGCGGCCCCGAGACCCGGCCAAGCACTCCTAGACCCGGACGATCCCTCCAGTCTTCACAATCAAAACGGGCAGGCCAAGGCCTTCTGCCCATCCTGCAGCTCTGCATCCTCTGCTTCTCGCAGCCGGGACATTTGGCCTTTCACGTGGCGCGGACGTTGGAGACTTCGATCTTTGGAAGCGAGGCGGCCTCCACACCGACTGCACTTCGGCGGCCGTGCAAACGTCCGGCCCAGCAGAAGCCTTCGGCAGCTTCTGGGTTTAAAGTCATGCATTGCATTCAAGGGCAAATGATCAAACAGGCTGCCCTCATGACCACAACGCCGCCCCAAGTCTTGAAAACTTGCTTCAGGTCAAGTCGCATAGCTGCAAGCCAGGCCGAAACCCCGCTGGAACCCCAAAGAAGCCATGCCCGATTGCGGAAGCGGACGGGTGAAGAGACCTGGACGAAAGGGCGGGGCGGCGCGGCATCAAAGAAAGGCCTGGAGTTTGGGACAACTTCTGGCTGCCTCTCGGTCAGTCTCCAGCAGCTTTTGGCAGCAAGAAGTCACGCCTCCAACGTGCTATGAGCAACGAAAGTGCTGCCGGGTAGGGCAAAAAAGAGTTTACGAAGATCCACACAGAAACATTGCAAGCATTTGCAAGCACTTGGGTTGAACGACAAATACCGAAAGCAGGTAACGTTATAAGTTTTTTTACATCAAGGGAAATAGACCGACTTTCAAAGCGTGATGCCTGCATCCATGCATCCATCCCTCCCTCCCTCCCTCCCTCCTTCCATGCATCCATCCATCCACCCATGCATGCATCCATGCATGGATACATGCGCGGAGACAGACAGACAGACATACACATGCACTCAAACAAATAAGACTTGCCCATCCCTCCACTTTCATTCCGGCCGGCAAGGACGCCCTCGTCGTAGCTCCCATGTCGCAGGGAAGGAAGAATACCTCACTTGAGGCTGTTGGCTCCTAACACGGCACCAGCTTTTTGCTGACACGTACTTCTCTACTCCGCGGCTTAAAGCATTCTGGTGTCAGCATAACTATTACCAGGATTGATGCTCACACTTCGGATTCGCGTCGAAAGTAAATTTCTGGGTGGAGTCCCAGCATTGCTGGGATCACGAAGTGCCGTGGCTTGAACACTGCGCCCAGGTCTCCGAATCTGACATTTGCTCAGCCCCAACTCGAGCCCAAGATAGCCACCCTCATGCGAAACGAATCAACGGTCTGCTGCCAGCCTGTGTCGATCATCCCGCGCAGCCAGCCATCTCGCTTGAAGGCCACGTTGAGTCCTGCGACGACGACCACCACAAGCACTACATTACTGTCAAGTCGTCGCTGTTCGTCCGCACTTTATGTAGCATGCAGCAAGATGGATGCTGCGAGGGTTCCCGGTTGGAAGAGGCTTGTGGTGTCTATCGCGACAGCTGGTAGCTGCTCCCGCTTGTGTGCCACTTGGAAAGTTACCAAATTACGGAACCCCAAGGAATACTACTACTAGTGCTAGTACTGCTAGAAGGTATGCTTAGTCCCGGTGTTTTGCTAAACTATACAGAAAAGGCCGGCCTGAGCCGATCTCCACCTCCACCTGCCGGTCGCCGGAATCGACCAAGATCAGCACCCCATTGTCCTTGTACCTCAGAGTACGGGCTCACCGGACTTTCAAAGCTTTTGGGCCGGAACAAACGCCGATGCAGCAGTCAAGACTGTGTCCAGCTGCAGCTAAAGATGAAGCCGGAAATACATGATACGAACACGGAAATGAAGCCGGTGACGGAGAGACATCAATTAGAAGGGATCGTGTTGCTTTTTAGTGGGTTTGGCCGGCCCGTCGCGTGTGTGAACAGAAGAAACCTTGCTTGCTGTTGGGTTCTTGCGTGGGCCAATAAGTCAAAGAGAGTTATACGAGATTATCGTATATATTGTAGTCGACAATAAGCTGTCTGAGCATGCCTTACATCTATCAGAGTACACACTCTTGAGACACTCTCCTGTGATGATAACCCTGGTTCACGGCTTGCGGTGATCCGAGCTACAGTTCGTTCGGTATGTCTCAAAAATACTCTCCAAGTATGGAGGTTCCCCTCAACATACCATTTCACAGATTCAGTATCATGGTATTGCAACTTTACATTATTCTTTACTATTCCTACAGCAATATGATTCTTTGGTATCGCAACATCAAGGTATTCTAGTAGAAGAGAATTACTGTGGTGGCCTAAGTTACAAGCTTGGGCTCTCCTCATCGTTACGGTGCACGGATGAAGATTTTCCATGTTACTAGGCAACGCCAAGTCATTTGCTTGGCGCGTGTGCAGCAATGGCAGGCCCGGCGCACAGTTGTCTGCTAAGCGCCGGGGCCCGTCTGAACTCGCCGGTGGATTGCACTCCATGCTAAAACACCGAGCGGCAACACAAAACTGGCTCGAGCAATCGAAGTACTCATAATCGCATAATGCAAGTGGCTTCGTGTTCAGCCTCGAGTGTTAGGCTGGCTAACATTCACATGCAATTCTCACTGGTGGCCTCGGACTCCGTGTAAGACTCGGACTCGCTGCTTTGGGTCTTGCCCTGCAAAGCTCAGAATTCCAGCTGCCACTGGTTTCACAGGACTTGCTTCCTTGTTGTTCCCTGCCATACCTACCGTCTTGCCGAAAAAAAGGTACAGGTTTTCTACATACACTGGACCCACGGTTCTGACTATCTTCAACTCGGGACCGGAAGCACACGCTTTGATCTTGAAGCCCTTGGCCTTCTCGAAGCTCTGTGCCGGTCCGTGGAACATCCCACCAAATTCGGACCAGTAGTAGCAGGGGCTCAGCAGCGCCCAAAACATGACGTAGCCCGCGTGAACCTGTTCGGGAACAAGCGACGATGGGTGGTGCGTCTCCGCTTGCGCCACTCACGTGCACGTTCAACGCCTACCGGGCCTACCGGCGACCCTTGAGCAACCCGGAACCCCAAAACGAAAGTCAGGCTAGAACTTCGACCCTGCCTGGAAAGGCAGCAGCGCATCCTGGATCGGCTTGTAAAAGCAGAAGCCAGCAATCCTGGGCACCGGATTTGTGCTGCTCGCATTCCGCGCTGAATCATCCGAGTTCAATCTGGTAACTTGGGGCAATGTAATCCAATGAGACTAGAGAAGGCCTCATCTGGTAGACAGCAAAAGAAATCAATCCCTCGCAACCAGCCGCCTTATCAACAGGCCCCCGTTCGCTCCATTGCCGCCAAGTGTCACTGCCCCGAGATTTCCACCGGCACCCACAAGCGCGGACACAACTGCGAGCTGCTTCCTGATGTTCGCATGCAAAGAATTACGAAGATGAGTTGTTGTGCTGACCTCTCCCACATTAATGCAGCAGGTGGCAACTGCAAATCTCCCACAAGCTTCTCTGCGATCCAAGCTTCCGGTTCATAAAGGGTACGATGCCATAGGAGGTGCCCTCAAAAGCTAAGTGATTCAGTTACAGCTACTCCCACGAGAGTTATGCTTGTGACAACATACTTCAAGGCTTGCTGAGTGGAGCCCGCCTCAGCCATCTGCACAAAGAGCGAGAAGCAAACCAAGACTGCCAAGGCCACGTACCACGGCTGCGAGTTGTCCACCTGAACCAGTATCACCAGCATCATCAACATCATCGCCATCACCATCGTCATGTTCTGCTTGGCACGAGAAGCCCCCAAGCTTTGTCGTGGGCCACGCCTTTCCGAAGCTGAACAGGAAGATAGCTTCGAAAAAGAGTGCCAGGAACTGAGCCCAAATGCCTCAGTCCACGTCGAAAGACCACAGACTCCGCTTGTGCAACAATAACAGCGAGCCCTAAAGTAGTGCCAAAGCGGTCCGAGATGCGGCCGCGGAAGCCGAAGTACTTGTAGCAAATATCGCTGCTAATGCCTCCAAAGCAACAGCACTAGTTTAAAAGCAGAGCGAGACACCTGTGTCCAAAACAGAGCCTCCCAGGGATCTTGCGAAAAGGTTCATCAGGCCGAAAGCACCAGCAAGAGCGCTGGCATCACCTGCCAGAATCGGGCAGGCAGTTTCCCCATCTTCCCAAAATAGTGTGTGCAAGGTCATGCAGACAGCACGAGCCTGCATCCATCTGGAAGTATGTGCGAAAATGCGTAGCCAACTGATTGTTCATTGCGAGCTCTGTGCCGAAGCATGCAGAATACTGGAAAATCATGACCACGACGCGAACGTCGCG